AATCAAGTCAAGAGCGTACTGTGATGGCTTCGTGTACATAACGAAGAATGGAGATTTCTCCGTGACACTATTTTTTTTTAATTATTACTACTCTTTGTAAACAAGTTACAATTCATAATATATATATATATATATATATATGAAAGTGTATTTATTAATAGTTATATAATAAATTACAACTCATAATAAGACAAAAAATATTAATTATATAAAATAAAATGACAAAAAATCTTCCTTTAGCAAGTAGCAGCTCACTAAACTTATCAAGGGTCTACTTTTGCCTAAATTTTCTCCACAAAATTTAAGGGTTCAGATTTGTTTTAAGATATCACATAGTGTAGCATAGAAAGACTTGTGTTTGATTGTCTTCTTATTGGTCAAAAACAGTGAAAAAAAAAGTTCTTGTCACTTTTTAGAGAGAAAGTGAGAGAGAGAAACAGAGAGATGGATGGTGAAAACAAAAGTCAAATAGGAATCACGTGAATTCGTTGCTAGATCTTTAAATAGAGGGACAAATATTACGTTTATTTATAGGGCATAAGCTGCGATAGAGCTCCTGAAACAATAATTTCTTCAAACTTCTAGTAACATAGATTGAAATTTCGATGTGGCTATATTACTTAGCTTGAATTTTTATCTGGATGGAGGAGATTGATCAGGGCCAAGTGCAAGAAATCATGTAGATTATTTCGGCTTAAGAAACTTGTATTTTTGAGATTATGAAAGAATGGGATCTTAATTACGGTTTTCTTAATTCTATTTTACTATGTCAGTTAATTATTTTTGAAAAAATATTTTTCTTTAGCAAGCACAAGTAAAAGTAGAAAAACAAATTATAGTTTAAAAAAACAAAACTGAAAAGTTACTAGTTTTGTTCCCTTTCAACTAATAAACTAACGAAGTTCTGGTATTTGGGGTTTTAAACACTATGATAATTCCTGTTTCAAGTTTAGTTTAAATTTTTTATATCACCACAAGAAAAGTGATTATTTCATGCAAGTTTTTCCTATGAATTTATTTCGCAAGTTATTCATGCTAATTTTCCTTCATATCAAGCAAAAAATGCTGTTAGCAAAAAATTTTTTGCAAATAAAAATTCCAACAAAAATCCACAAGAAACTGGCTATGAGCAACGTATCCCCAAGAATTTTCACATGAAATAATTTTGCCAACTAGCAGGAATTTTTTTTTTTTTGAAATACATTCACAGAAGACCTACGAATTTTTCTAGGGATTTTGTATTTCCACGAAATTCCCATAAAAATTTGCATATAATATTTCCTGGGAATTTTTCTTGCAAATTTAGAAGTGAATTTGTTTCTTAGGGAATTTTCTGCAAAATTGACTACTTGGAAACTTATCAGCAGATTTTTTCATGGAAATTTACATGCAAATTTTTTCCTGTGAATTTATTTACGAATTCTGCTTCAAAATCCATAAGTAATATTTCCTAGGAAATCTCCTAGGAATTTTTCTTGCGGATTTACATCTAGGTGTCTTTCTTGCAAAATTATCTACAAATTTGGCTACTTAGGAGTTTATCTGCGAATTGTTTCCATAAGCACACATGCTCATTGGCTTCATATAATTTATGTTGAAACCCCAAATCCTAAAATGTTAAACCTGCTGGCTTTATAGCTCAAAAGCAAAGAGGTTAGATTTTGAAGGGCTTTTCAGTGGATTATTAGCTTGAAGTTGTACTTCTAAACTTTGAAGCTTGATACCTGTCTTAGCACAAATGTTTCTGGAAGCTTGCAGCTCATTATGACGATGGGCCAAGGCCTCTTTCAACATATTTGTTTCTTCTTCCATTGCAAATAGATGTTCTTTAAGAAACTGATTCTCTTTTTGGAACTTCTGCTTACTGTGAAGAAAAAAATTCAGGAAATGCAGATGGATGAGGAGTAGAAGGCTTTACAGGAGACCCCTTTCCTCATTTTTCTCCATAATCTCGGCCAAAGCTCTGTACTTTTAACTTCATATGTGCCAGTGCTGCGGGACCAGGTAACCTCTTTTGAACAAGACCAAAGAATCTTTTACTTCAACTTCTAGCTTAGCTATTTTCTTCACTCCTTCCAAATGTTGCTTGTTGGCTACTTATGCAGATCTGAAACTCATGTCTTTTTCCTCATTGAGGATTTCTAGCTCTTTTGTAGCTTTGATTGAATTTGTTTGTTTTTCACGAGTCAATATTGCTCTTTGGTAATTCAATGTTTGCTTCTGCTTGAGATTTTTCTTCACTATTCTTAATCAGTATATTAGGACGCTCCCGCAATGACCTTGAAAGTGCACCATGTTCTGCTGGAGACCTGAGGAGTTCTTGTACCAAATTAGTTATCTTTGCTTCAAGTTCGAGCTTTATTTTATCCGACTACTCTGTTTTGGTAAGAACAACTTCATGCAATTTCTGTTCATGTTCTTCCTGCAGATTGCATATATGTCACATGCACTCCTTTAAAGCATATATTTTCACTTTAAAAATGTTAATCGGGGGAAGGGGGAAAATTCTTGTTTTGAGATATGCTATTATTCTATTCTTTTACTTAATAATCCGAGCCCAGTTTGTACTTCAGAGTGATAATATATGCCTCTAAAATAGGTCTCTATCCTGAAAACAATTGAAAGTGTAGGCTTAGAATCACTTGGATACTTCGCCTATAACTTCAACTATTATAGCATGTTGAGACATTTATCAGTCAACTAAGAATGAGATTGTGAGTTGTGACACCTTAGAGCCATTAACTTGATTATGTAAAGCCATATTAATGAATTGGTATATAAGTCATTAGCTTTCAAAAAATATTAAATTGAGATGGTTCTATTTAATGCTTTATGCATTATCCTTCCCTCAATTCCTTGTTTCTACTGTTCCCAATTTGCCAACGATTTGGGTTTATCTTATCTGGTCTATGTGAGCATATTTTATATACTTAACTTTTGGCTTTATTTTTGTTTATTTATTTAACTTGCCAATGACTAGTTTTATGGACAAGAATTTAAAAGAGTTATTTTCTATACAGTGGTCAGCACAAATCATTTTGTCTGAAAATTATATTGAGACAAGAGATCGAGTTCATGTATTGAATTTACTACAAAGGGAATAACATGGGAAAGAGGAATTCAAAAATTAGAACAAGAAATTTGCAAATAAACTAATTGATACAAATAAAAAATTAGCATCCTTGATATGATATCTAGAATTTTAACCACAATCATCTTTTTTTGTATCACTTCTCACCCAATTAGATGATAATGATTTTGCTATTGATGAGAGTGATGAGGAGGGGACAATTGAAACTTGTATATAATGTATCTAACTAATAATTAGGAATATTATGTTAACTGTAATTATAAATATAATGAACTTTTAAATAGTTTGAACGTATGTCAAGATATTTTTATATTTAATATATAATCTATATTTTTATTAAAGATTTCTTTTATATTGTTATGAATGTTATAAATCATCTTTAAGATCAATTTAATAATATAAATATGTGAATCACAAAGGCATCTAAAAAAATTATGAACAATTTTTTTTTGCAGAATTTTGTTAGCTGCAAATTTTCATGGGAAAATTTATATGGTAATAAAGCATGTTAACAACGTTTACTACAAAATTTCTTGTGGAAAATATTTTTTTTCGAAATTCCTATTTGAAAATACTTGCAAATTTTATTTTATTTTTGTAGATATAGGTTTTTACAAATTCTCTTGCAAATTTTTTTGTGGATTTTTTTGCATAAATATTTTTTAGATTTTCTTTTGAATTTTTCTAATAAATTTTTTACAAAAATATTTCTTGCAAATTTTTCTATGAATAATTTTCTTCAGATTTTCCTTTGAAATTGTTTTGTGGATTTTCCTACAAATTATTTTGTGAGAATTTTCTTTTGGATTTTTCTTGCGGATCATTTCTTGCAGATTTTCCTTTGAGCTTGTCTAATTTTCTGTGATTTTTCTTTGAACTTTTCTTGTAAATTGTTTCTTGTGGATTTTTCTTTGAACTTTTCTCGGAGATTTTCTAGCAAATCATTTTCTACAAATTTTTCTCCGATATTTCTTGCGGATTCTCTTGTGAGTCATTTCTAAGCTTGCAAATTTTCATTAAAATTTACCTGCAAATTTTGCTAGGAAAGAATTTGTATGAAGTTTTGTATGAACTTTTTCCACAAATAAATCCACAGGAAAATTCTTTTTTGACCCCCTACTCACGAAAAATGCCCCAGTGCTTGGAAATTTTTTTCGTAGGAAATTTTCTACAAGTTTGAAAAATCTACAAAAAATTACTCACAATCGTCTTACTTGTGAATTTTATTTGTTTTTGCACCAAAAACATGCAGGAACCATAGTTTCTTTTGGATTTTTGGCAAAAATCCGCAGCAAAGATTGCATGAAATGAGCAATTATCTTTTAATTGGTTTGATTTTATTTGGTTCCATTTGTAAAAAGAGCTATTTGGTTTGTGGTTTGACTATTAAATTAATTGTATAAATAGATCCGAATTATGTAATGTATAATTTTTTTATTACTTAAGTACATATTTCTTCTTTATATTTTTTTTATATTTATATTTTTTTCTAATAACTGAAACTTTTTTTTAGAAAATAATTTCAATTAGTACAAAATAAATTCTGTTAAATATATTTGTTATATAATATGTAATTGTTATGATTAGTTAATAAATGATAAATTACAGTTTGATTTATAATTATAGTGGATAAAAATGAAATCAAGAAAAGAAAAGGATAAAAGGATTGTTTTCAAGTAATTTTCGATTTTGTATATTTAATTCTTAGCTATGCAAATAAAATTTAGGAAATTACAGGATTGCATAGAACAAACTTATGGAAATAAAAAAGCCATATGCTTATATATATACATATATATATATATATATATATGCGTGTGTTTGTGTGTGTGTGTGTGTGTGTGTGAGAGAGAGAGAGAGAGAGAGAGAGAACACGCATCTTAACTAAGATTAATTATTTATTGCATGATCAATTACCAGGTCTAGCAAGCAGTTCTCGGAGTTTGATTTTATCTATAAAACGCTTGCTATCCAGTTCCATGCTGTAAAAATTTTCAAGGTGTTCTTGCGCGGTGAAATCCCGATAGATGGCCGGCTTTTCCGGGGACAAAAGCTCCGGCGAAGGCCCGTAGTAGCCAGACCCTCTCCGCTTGTGGAGGTTATAGAAAGTGACTACGGAGATTCGGAGTTTTCCGGTGGGAGTTGGCCAGCACGCGGTGTTGGACGCTTTTGTACTCCCCGCAACATACTCTCTGAGGAAACATGTACAAAGAAATTTATATAAAAATCAAATATTATCAAACTAATTTATATTTATGAACATAAATTTTGTTTTTCTATTTTTATTTTGTTTTTGATGGATCGGAATGGAGAAATAGAAAGATCCTTGCCTGCCGGAAATCTCCGATATTAACGATGAGTCCTCCGGGCAAAGGCTTGACGTCCACCTACTCGTCCTCGTGCCTAACCTGCAGTCTCTCGATCTGATTCTGCAACAATACGGTCATGGTTACAGGATCAGTCTGAGATGTAACAACCCACCGTCAGGTCCAGCTGGGGACGGTGAGGATAGCAGTGCCCCCAGAAGTCTCGTGTCAGAAATTGTCAGCTCCTTGAACTTGCCTCTCTCCAATCCCAACCCCTCCGACAGGAGCTCCATCACTGCCTCCGCCACCTTCTTCGCGTGCCCATCCCATTCCAACACCTCCCGCCGACACACAACCGGAGTGTTCTCGCCTTCGCCGGCTCCGGCGACATCCATATCTACAAGGAATTACAATAACTGCGTAACGAAATTGGAAGAAAAGAGTTTTTTTTGTAATTCAAAAATTCTCATTATTTTCTAAAAAGATTCGTTTTCCAAAAGCTATCCTAAGAAGGGTTTCAAAATTAACTCATGAAATCAATTTTTTTGTTTGGAAAAACAAGAGTAATTTCCAAAAACAAAACCAAAACAGTAACTTACCTGCAGCGAGGCATGCCAGGCGGCAGAATCGGCTCGGTACAAGTCGTTATTGCTAGCATACATGACACCGCGGCCTCATCACGCACGTAGTGCTTCGCTTTCACCTCCATGGGCAGCTCGTGGAACGCTTTTTCGGCGGCAATCGTCTTATCCAGAACCGACACTGGCACGCCGTGGTTCATGATTTGGAAGAAGCCCCAAGTCCTCGCAGCCCCTCGGACTTGCTCCACGATCTTAGGGCGATATTCGCCGGATTTTTGCCGGAAATAACGATAACCGGAATTACGGTGGAGCATGTCATGGAGGATTTGAAGTCCGAGAGGTTCCGGCGCCTGCATAAAGAATTTGGGGATGGAGGTGATGCCGAAATCGGAGAGGCGTTTGACACCGATTTTCCATTCGTCAAATTCCTTCACTTCCGTTATCCGATCATAACTAGTACTCCCACCAACAACCGCCATGTTCTTCCACGTCAACATTCTGAACGATACAACTGCCATTCCGCGGGAAGGACAAGGAGTATATATAATGACTTTCTTGAGATGGATTAACCCTTCCATTTTGATCCTCAAACTAATTTTTCTTGCTAACCTAGTTAACAAAGTTGAATTCTGTTCATGAACTTAGTCCTTTCTCCAATGTAACCGTTTAACACTAACAACAATAATTTTTAATGGAAAGATAAATCCACGAAATGTTAAGTTCGAGCATCACTGTAACCATCCTCACAAGTCCCTAAGATTATAATTTACTCCAGGGGAAAAAGCTTACACCCAAGTTCTGCGTATGATTAATGAGATTTCTCAAATGATAGTTAACCATAAAAAATCTAGTGTTAGTGTCGTGTGATTATTACTTTTTTCTTAAAAAATCAATTTTTGAGATATAAACACCACTGCTTATTGTTAGAATTTTCTTTTATAAAACTAGTTGAATGGATGGTTTGATATTTTTAGAACCCATCTTGTATCAAGTGACCCAATAGATTGTGAGTCATGTTGATTTGAGCTTAGGCCCTATTCTTTATTATGCTGAGTTAAAGTAAAAGTCTCAAAGAATTTGGAGTTTTAAATTGATAGAAACTGTCTCTTTATATTAGACAAGATCTTCATTTCACTTTGTAACATTCTTCGGATTATTCACATTTCCATCAAAATGACAATTGTGCGAAAAGAAGTAGAATTAAAGTATCTTGCTCGCGCAGAATACATTTGCGCTCTCATTACTTCAATTTGGTTAGTTATCCAAAATAACTTAAACGGGCACGTTTCTTGATTTGCATGTTGATTAGTGCTCTAATTTCTATTATAATTGATCCTTTTGAATTCTTACACTTATATCCCTATCTCCCTCTTTCTTTTTGTTTGACATGGACTTGAGACACTCTTTTCTGTTTAAATCCTTAACGTACTTATCAAAGTGGAGTACAGACCTCCCACGAGCTTGCTCATATACCTCTCCCTTAGGCACTGGGCATGCGTAACATGGTTACCAGACTAGTGAAGTTTTTATTTTACTTTATTTTTTTCCCAGATTTTGGTTAGCTGTTATAAATAGAGATGTAGTGTGTTGCTTTGGTAAAAGCTTTCGTCAGTAAAATTTATAGACTTTGCTGTCATTGTTTGTGGGTTTATGGATCCTAAGAACCCGTTGGATTGTTGGGATTATTTTGTAACTTTTGGATTGAAGAGGGGCCACTTGTCTTCTTTACTCTCCCTCTCGGTTGCTATTGTTAAGGTTGCTTTTCGTCATGAAACACTAGTTGGTCGAGTAGGCGATTGCAGTACGTAAGGTACGCTGGATTGTTGGGTTGGCAGCTTCTGACGAAGGAGATGGTTGCTCTCTTCGGAGACACCCATGAACCGGAGAAGGGGTGAGTTATCATCATCAAGGAGCGGCTTCCATGAGGATGGCGGTTGCGGAATAGAGGACGATGCCGGTGCCGGTGCCGGTGCCTGTGCCTGTGCTTATATGATAGAATATATGGGTGAAATATAGATGGCACGTTAATTATGTAAACGGATCAGATTTGAATCAAATCAGGATGATCCGAATTCGATTATTAATATATATATCTGAATCTGACCCAAAAATTTTTAAAATTTCTACTTATTATTATCATATCCAAATCTGATAAAAATTCAAAATCCGAGTAAAAAATTCGATCCAAATAACAATTAATAATATTTAAAATCAAATAACCTATAAGTAAAAGACATGTAAAATTAAATAAATTATTATTTATAAATGATAAAAATTCATGTAAGATTTATGTTTAATTATTTTGATTTTATTAAAACATAAATAAAATTTACAAATAAATTCTTATTTATAAATGATTAAGAAGAGTATTTGTTATATAATATATTATAAAAGTTATAACAGGATTTCAATACTTTATAAAATTATCAAGTTTTATTTATATTATAGTTAGAACTTAGAAAATTTTTAATTAATTTATTCAAGTGTTTCATGAAATTTTAAAAGTAATTAATTATTAAATATAATACCTACTAGAAAAATTAAAATTAGGGAAAGTAGAAGAATATTATAGAATAATTTTAAAAAAATATACATTATTCTATTAAATAAAATATCTCACAAATACAAATTAGTACATTATTAATTATAATGTCATATATAAAAATATTTATTAAAATAAATATAATTATTAATTAAATAAAATATTATTAAAATATTTGAATTCGGATTTTTAACGGATTAGATTACTTAACTCTATATCCAATCTACTTATTTTGAATTACGATATTTATAATTAGATTTAATCTATCAAATATTTTAATAGATTAAATAACTTAAAATTTGGATCAAATTCAAATTAAAATCTAATTAATTGACAGTATTATGGCACATAATATCATAGAATATGGTAGAATGTCACGTCATCTTTCCTTTTCTCTTTTTTTTCCCCTGAGATAATTCCAAATATAAGCTATGCATGAGAACACATAATGTCCTTTATAGTAGTTATTCTGAATGCCCACGGCAGATCTTTTCTTTTTTCCCTCTTTCTTAGTTGAATAAAAAATAGTTTGTCTTTCTAAACTATTACTGTGATGACACTTAATTCTTAAAAGTATAAAATATAATAGTTTATTCTCTTAATTTATATTCACAATTTATAAAAACTAACTCACTATTAAAATACTTATTTAATTTAATACCTTACCCCTTAATTGTATTTTTAATTTATGATAATATCTGTCAGCCCTATGCTGATCCTTCCTTGCGTATGCATTTATTGAGAGATAGGTTTTTTTAATAATTACAAATTATTTTAGTTATAACAAAGGTTATTATTTTTTAGATTGATTAAAGAATAAATTTTTAAATTAATTATATTTTTTAGGCTATAATCAAAGTTGTTTATATACAAACAATATTTATTAAATTATGAATGATAAACAATACAAGCTAATGGGTTAACTTTATAAAAGTTAATATTCATTTTTTATTGCAATAGATACTGTTGTTTTACAAATTAGTTGTGGAATAATTTTTTATTAATTATAAATTTTTTATTATAATAAAGGATGTTACTTTATGAAGAATATATGCTAAATTATGAAGCACATGTACAATTTATGATAAGATATGTTTTAATAATTTGAATGAGTATATTAAATATACTACTTATTTTTAATTGTAAATACAAATTTGAGGGGTTAAACTGTTATCTTCTATATTTTAGAAAGAGGGGTTATCATGGTAATAGTTTTAGGGAAAAAATTGTATTTTACCTTTTTTAGTTTTTTTATGAAGAGAAATTAAGGGTGTTTCACTATCTATATATATATATATATATATATATATATATGATTTGCAACTAAGCTTGGCTACTCTTATGCTTGTCATATTTAGCATTTTACATGTTGTTTAAAAATCAGATTGAAATAGACTGGCTAGTTCAACCAAAAACTAGCAAACTCTCCAAATCGGTTCAATTTATAAAACTATTTTGCCATCAAACCATTGAAAATTTTGTCAAAAACTTAAAAAAAAAAAAAACTAGTTTGTTGATCTAACCAATTTTTTTCACAAATAAATATAAAATGATATCATATGATAGAAAAATATATTTTTCAAGTACTTTCTTTGATATACAATAAATAATAATTCTTGTATGATATTATTATTGTCACACCCCAAACCCAGGCACTAAGGTTGGCACGCCAACCCTAGTAAATTTTTTATCGAAATAAAATACAAATTCAAATAGACCAAAAAGTATATTATTTTTAGTACATCACAATCCTGTCTGAAAAATACTAGAGTAACTCTAAAATACAAGTACAAATAGAAACATCAAGTCATACATCAAATTCGACTTGCCAGGAAATGGGTTACTCAAATTAGAAACACGAACCCTCGCTGCAATTTGGAAAAATAAAAAAGGTTGAATCGCAAAACTCAATGAATGATAATACAGACTCTAGTCATACTGGGATATGTATCGTAAAGCATGCCAGACATATACGTATAAGTAAATAGTGAGTAACTTAGTCAAATTATCAAATAAACTCTAAAAATATGCCTCATATTTTCAAGGTGTAATTTATCAATTTAGTTATGTAAGAGTATCTCATAATGTCAAAAATCACATTTCATGACAGAGTATATCATGTAGGAAGAATCACATATCATATATCACATCAAAATTAGAAACTGAATCAGAATATCAACTCATAACAGAGCGTGTCATGTCGGAGAACTCACATTTCACATAAGGATCCCATATCAAAACTAGAATCACAATCAAAATCAGAACTCAGAATCCATAATAACTCCTGACATAGATTTCAGAAAAACAATTATAATAGAGGCATGAATTTCAATTAAACATCTATTTTTAAATAACTTACTATAATTTCAAAATAAACGAATACATGTCCCAATTGTTATCTTTTCCAAAATCAGAAATAATATCACATTAATCATTTCATAATCAAAACAAAATAACATGAGTAGAGTAAGTATTATCACTCACAGTCCAAACCAGAATCGAAAACCCGAAGCACCGAAAACAAGCTCATAGATCAAAGCATATCTCCTCGGGAGTATCTACAATCACAATATTATAGAATCAAAATCAGAACTAAACTCTACCCACCACGGGCTTAAATACCCAAAATAGACCAAAACTCCATTTCAGGAGCTTAGCACGTATCTCAAGGTTCATTACTAATCCTCAAACCTGAAACAATTCAAAACCAGTATAAAGTTTATAAAAAAACCCTTAAACCATTGAACTAGCCATGAAATAAGCTCCAAACCATTGAACCGACTCCAAAACCCAATAAACCGAACTTATTTCCCATTGAATCGAGTATGAACCCATTGAATCAGCCATGAATTGGCCTTAATCTCATTGAACAAGTCCATGATACCTTTTGATTTTCATTCTGGAAATTGTTCCCATTTTTCTATGTTTTTCTTCAATTTTTCTCCCTTTTTCCAAGTTTTTCTTTTATTTTCCACC